ATCCCAACCCTTTGCGTGACAAACTTTTATCTAACTTAGATCTTCATTGCCAATTGTTTGAATTAAGAACCATGCCCATGCATTCCAGTTTGTTCATTTTTCTCCCAGTAAGAGCTTTGTCATCTACAGCCTATAAATAGTTTCTATCATAAACCTCGTCTGTTTCTGTCTATAAGTGAATCTTCGTAACTGTCAATCAGTCCTTGGAATTGGTAACAGCACGTTATTTACCTAATCACCCATCAACCCAGAGAAAATGAATTTTCAAATGACACTGAAACCGACTAGACCAGGACTCCTACACCACAATCCTGACCGCACGCATTTTCAACAAAAAGTAGTTGGATAGCACGTGGCCACGTTTCCAATATGTTATGTTGATAAACATTTGAACTGCCGCATGTGTACTTGATTATACGCACCGCTGGCAGAAGACAAGACAGTAAGATGCCCTTACTGATACTCTCCCATTAGTGAGCAAACTAAACAAGCTAAACGGAGTTTATTACTATGATATTAAATAACCCAATAAATAAGACACAAGCAAGCAAAGTTGATGTGATAATTGTTGCTACTTTAAAACGTTTTAGAACATTAAGAGCATTGTTGCGAAAATGTCAAAATGGATAACATCACAATATAATCCTCAAACCAGTAAGGACCGTCAACCAGGCACACCTCTAGAACAACTTGATTTTATCACAATTGTTGATCCTTTTAAAGTTTTGCTGAAGCTTTGAAGAGGCGGTTTGTTGAAGATAATTACCACTGAACATACAACAGCTAAATCCACGCACACATTGCTCCTGATATCAGTGATGTCTTGGCCTTGAATTCATGTTGATAACAATTTAAATGATGCTCAAAAATAGGCAAAAGATGGGAAAATGGGGGAAATGGCGAAACCATGCATATGGCATTACGGCGGATAGCTGGCATCATGCCAGGATGCTTTCCGTCCATGCGAAAATACGAGGTTCCTCAAAACAGCACGCAATTTTATCAAGGTAACTTCATTCTCAATGTAGGCCTATGTGCTTGTCGATGTACAAGATATTTACTTTTTTATAGGCTTTTGCAGTTTTGGATCGTGTTCACATTAACGTAAGGGCCTGAAGCCAACATTCAAACCTTGAATATGTGAGAGTTTAAATGACATATTTCCAGTAATATACCCTATGTGACGTGGAACGAGCGGTGAAATAACAGATGTAGGAGTCTGGAGTTGTCAGTTGTGAAAGTTGTGAAAGTCTAGAGTTGTTGTAAATGTCAAAGTCAGGAGAGCCTAGAATTGCCGTCAATTGTCAGAGCTGTGAAAGTCTAGAGTCCCTGTCAGTTGTGAGAGTTGGCAGCTGTTTTGTAGATAATACGAAAGCAAAGCTAATGAAATCAGAGGCCTTTGGCAACCGACGCGAACGGCCTCCGTCAATGTGTTCGAAATCTGCGTTTCGTGAAAATTAAACAAGCGGAGGAAGTAGAAAATGGCCTGCCTCGTGACAAATAAAAAGATAAGAATATTGATACTGACAAGATACTGATAAAGCACGCAGATGTGGAAACATGCAGAACCGTCGAAAATAACCTCACGAACAGTTATGACTCGAGTCAAATGAAGTTTTCACAAAATAAATTGTCACGCAAATTTCGCGTAAACGCACAAGTGGTTAAAAGCAAGGCATCATTTGCTCTCTGTCGTGCCCTAAACAAGCCTTAAAATCACCCCCCTCCCCAAAAAGGGCAGCACAATACTGCGTACGCTGCAAAATAACAAGACGGCGTAGCTCACCTGTCGATCGGAAACCGGGCGTCACAACACAAATAAAGATTATGAACACGACGCCAACTTCCCAGACGCTGGCGACCGGTCTACAGAGCACCGACCCGTGGTCACATGGCTACGAAGGCAACTCCGAGCCTTAACTGGAGATCTTTCACCCGACTGAAGGTCATCACAGTCCGCAGCGAATAGTCCCCAGGTCCTGCAGTGCCGACCAAATTAAGAGGTGGTCACTCGAATGCTAGGGGCTCAGCGTTCATTCTAGTAAATATGTTATTTCCGCGATGCGCAATCCCGAAGCGCGCAAAATGTTGGGGTGACTGTGTGGCAACGGCAGCCAGAACTGGCATCTCACAATGGGACATACAATGGATGACTTGACGACCTCAAGACTTCGAAGGCATTTGACATGGCCGTCCCCGAACACTGAATTGTCGTGCAGCATTATCGACATCACCCAGCCTTGGCCACGTGTGCGGCTGCCAAGCAATGCGCTCGACCCCGACCGATGTCGACCGATGCATCGGTGAAGAGCCCACATATGCCACATCGGCTAGGAAAGTCGAACCATTGCGTATATCATGGACAGCGCTCGAATCCACGTGAGTCGGTTATCCGTGTCGCCACGCCGGGCGCTTCCATTTAGCCAATATCAATCTTATCTTGCTTCACAGAGCCAGTTTGATCACCTATGATAGGGGTTGCGTGCCATCTCCAACGTGACAGCTTAATAGCAGCGCAGGAGGCAGTCATGAACGTATCCAATGCAGCATTTTGTGAAGGGCCAGCATCCGTTTGGGGAGGGAGTAAGTTCCAACTTGGATGTCATTAGCAATAAGATCAAGCAAACAGCGCAAACTTGACCTTTTCACCCCTAAAAGATTTAGCCATGGCCCGTGTCCCCTACTACACTCGGATCAGCCTTCAGAGGCATTTCGTCAAACACGACTCTGAATAACGAGGACGTTGCGTAAGGAACGATGGCCTAACGGGGGGGGGGGGGGGGGGGCAACACGGTGATTGGTCGAGTCCTTACACCCATGTCCGAGCAATCCGACGTCAATGCCGGGCAAACATCCACGCCACGCATGGCGCCTTTCCCATCATGTCACGACGCATCGATACGGCACAGCCTCAAAAACAACTGCCTCCAAAGACGTTCACGTGAAGCAATCCATACATTTTGCAATGTGTCCTCGTTACCAATCGACACAAGCACTTCCAACCGACTTACCTGCCTAAGCCTGGCGAATATCTGTAATAGTCACACCCAACTTCCTCCAACAAAGCACGGTGAAAGTCTCTTCAGCCGTCGAGCAAACACGACATTTGCCCCAGCCCGCGGTAGGCCGATACGGCGATGCCCACGCTTCCCGACGCCGCAGCGACTGTACGCGTCAGCGCCGAGACATCCAAGGTTATGTGCCCGAGTGCGGTGCCAGTTTCTGTCGACGCCGACGATAGAAGTGCCGCCAGAGACTTGATCCAATTATTGGTCACAGGATCACAACTGAAATCACTTCGTCAATAATGTATGCCAAACGATATATGCACCGCGCAAACACTAGGCCACCACAAATCGCACACGGCCTCGCCTCCGCCGGACGAGACTTTGCCCGTCGTGTTTAATTCACCCACAAGCAATAGATGGCAGCAGCGAACGGGACGACCAATTCACTTGTCGGCTGGCTGCCGTGCGTGCCCTTTAAAATTTGCTCTCGAGTATCGTGATTCGTTCGTGAGGCATAAGCTGAGTCTGTCGAGTTACCGTCATGTCGTTGCAGAACATGACGGGACAAAATAAAACAAAGGATCTTCGGTTCCCATCGAGGCGCGCAAACGCAACAATTTAATGACTACAATTCCGGCTTGTCTAAGTCATTAATGGCGCATTGTCATCTGTCTTCTGGCTCATGCAGTAAAACGCGTGAAGCTCAATAGAAGGCGCGTGAGCGGGTCGGGTGTGGCGATAATTGGTGGACCTAGAACAACCAAAGGAAGAACCGTTGGAGCCGTGGTCCGTTCGAGATTTCGGAAGGTGGTACCTTAGCAGCTGTCAGTGGGTGAAGTGTGGGTTAAGTGGTTGTGGTTTAGGGGCAATCCTGACGTTCTTCTAGGGTGATCTAATGGTTTGGAAGCGTAGTTCTAGCAGCTTGTGTAACCTGGCTCACCAGTTCTTATGAGGATTAAATATTGAAGTCATGTACAGGTTTTGCCTCATGTCTTTGTGCAGACTTTAGGCACTTGCCTACAGTCTACACAGATATAGACTTTGAGCACTTCTCTGCAGTCCACAAAGAGGCTTAGTTGAACAAGATAAGTTGGGAGGATGCCTGTGTGGGGAAAATGGCTAAACCTTCCTCTGGGACATGTACAGATAGTTATTATCAAATTTGGCACAGTTTCTCCCCAAAGTAAGGGGAAAGCCAGAGCCTCCAATTGGGTAGGAGACTACACATCTGATTTTACATGTTCTGGTATTACATCTGTTGGTTTCTATGATGCATGTTCATCATTCTGAAGATCCCTGGACCCAATGCCTAGTTATTTCAATGGGTTGACATGGAGATAGGTCAAAGTCTGGGAATCCATGTGCATATGTATCATGTAATATGCCTATATGTACTGTTGCATCATAATTGTGCAAGAAAAAGTAGACTGAATCATAGCCAGCCCAAAGAGCAAGCAAGTTATCTGTACCCTTACTGGTGTGCTCGCATATGGCCATGGTTGGAGTAGTTTTCAACTTATTACATGTGAGATGCATGTTCCTTGTTATTGCCCTTCATAATTCCACTTCACAAGTGATTTGACTAAAAGCTTGGTCGTGGACCTGAGCCCAGAGGTTGCATTTGCAAGGCTGTGTGTTGTGCAAAGTTCTGCAGTCACCAAAGTTGTATGAGTTGCATTTTGGGGTATGCATGATTTGAAACATAGGTGCCTGTAATGGCACTCTTGTGCATAACAGTTGTTAGTTTTTCAAAGGATTGATAATTAGCTGTTTTGCTGACTGAAGAGTCATGCTGACAAGCACCCCCTGCTTGCAGCAGAAAAAACAAGGATGTAATCCCAGAGCACTTGCTTGGCCAGAATGGCTCTCACCTTTCTCAGTGCGTCTCAGCAGCATAGGACAGCAGCGTGCTCTGACCAAGCTGCAGTCACTGAAATGTCACTGTACTGCAGGCAACTGTGGGAACCTCTCACATGGTCCGATTTCAGGAGATCCACGCGTTCCAGTCATATATTATGGTGAACAAAACACAAACAATTTCACAACAGATAAAGCTGACTCGCCATCAGCCGGGACCACGCCATCACACCAAGCACGCTCGTGTCACGTTATTGTAAACCGTCTCCCGTGGCGCTGCACCGCCCAGTCCACACCACATCATTCAGCGGCTGGTATGCATCGGCCCGCCGGCCGCGATGAGCTGGGACGAGGAGGACGCAGCCGGACGAGCTGCGACGAGGAGAACGCAGCCCGGACGAGCTGTGACCAGGAGGACGAAGCGGGCTCGGCCGCGTCGGCTCGGCTCTGTAATGGAATAGCGGCAGGGTCGTTGGATCGCCGGATTTAGCGTTGCCCGCACATCTTCCGCAACATCTCACTCGACCGGTGTCGTGTCGTGCGGAGCGTCTTCGCGGTTGTTAAGGGCGGCGACTATGATTTCTCGCTTACAATGAACGCGGACGTACGTGTTGAACGGATGACGGCAGTGGCGGAGTCGACATGATTTAGCAGACACGATTTTTAGATTGGCCTGGCATGATGAGATGCACGCGTAGGCATACAAGCTTCCAACCGCACAGGGTCCACACAAACTACGATAAACGCGAGACCCCTACGGAATATCACACCAATATCAGGTAGATTCTGAATGGAGTTGAAATTCCACATTGAGTTCCAATTTCCAATTCCAAGTCCGAAATTCCAGTTCCACCTACTTTGACAGTCGGAACGCCATCGCCTACGACAGCTAATAGCGCGATGCATTTAATTGCGCGATTGAAACAACAGATCATGTAGTAATACAAATGCTCCAAAGGATGTAGAGTATCATCACATTTTACACTGGGGACTTAGTCAGCAGGACTGCTGAGGTGTGTCATCTACGTAGGCGGATCCTGGGGAGGGGGGGGGGGGGACCCGGGGCCATTGCCCCCCAAACCCTCAGAGTATGTTTTGGCCCCCCCAAAACATTCCCAAAACTTCATAAAAGTTTCGTCTACTTACCATCTGTTTTGACTTTAACTGTTTTAACTGTTTTGTTTTAACTTCCGTTTAAGATTCGAAAGCATTTCGATGTTTTTTTCAGTTTTGAATGGTGTCCCTACCAGGTGCTCGCGAGAAGCACCGTGCACTGGACCTCGGATCGCACACCAGCAAGCTCGCGACGAACGGTTGCCCCCCCCCCCTCCCCCCCCCAAAACTCCAGGCTAGATCCGCCCCTGGTCATCTACGGTCTAATATATCACAGTATTTGACAGCAAGCGTGGTAATAAAGACAAAAACTGGGACACTGTGTGCGGGCTTTAATTTCACGCAGGGCAATGGGACCAACCAAAGGGTAGTGTTGTATTTGAGTGCACGGTAAGTTGCAGCTGCTTTCATTGACGGCCGCAACTAGAAGAACAGATGTCTGAAAGGCCCAACAAATAAACCGTGGTGCCCTGCGGCGAGCGGGGCTTTGGTGCTGGCGAGATGCGAACACACGCCATGCATGAAACCTTAGTATACGTAAGAGTCGTCGAACCTTTATGACAAAGACGGTCCATGCCAGTCGAACTACGCTGTTGCAATCCGTCGACGGCCCGGTAGCTCAGTGGCCAGGACGCAGATATACGGCAATTTGTGTTCGGAGATCATACTGGTCCAGATCCCATCAACGGCGGTTACGCCATTTGTCTACGGTCGGCTGCCAACTGACCGAAAGACATGCGGATGCGCAATGGTCGCCTCGTGGATTTATCTATCACGTTAATGGTTGCAAAAGGAAACTCCGATTGCACAGCGATGCCCGGATGCCATTCGGTTCAGTTTCTCTTAAAGACTTCGGGATTCATGTCATTCGTTGTAAAAACATTCTGGTCGCCGGTCGACCATGCGATTTTTTTCGACCAGCTCTGGTAAAAATGGAAGTTGGTTCTTTTTGTGAGGTGCAAAATTCAGGAAACTAAACGAAAACTGGACTTCCAGTCTGAATATGAAACCCTCATAGCGACCCTTACGAGCGGGTCCGTTTTTTAGCCCCCAAATTTAGACCGGTACCCTGATACCTTCTCCTTTGATCAAATGGATCCTGAGCAGCATTATTTGTCGCGATGGACTGCTTCCTGTCCACCAGTTAATGCATTTTGTGTAGACCAGTTAATCATTTTGTGTAGACCAGTTAATGCATTTTGAGTATCTAGTTAATGTATTTTGTTTACACCAGTTAATGCATAATGGATTTGCAATCTCATTCACCGTGATTGAATGGCTATCTGGCGTTTAGCCTGGCGGGATGGCCATGTGGCCCTCAAGCCCGTCATTGACGTCTATTTGTTCGGCATTTTAGAAAAAGATGTCCACACATGCGCTTTGAGTTACGTTGTAGCTTAAAAACCGCATGTTGGCTTCCGTCGAATATTCACATTAATCTTTCGGGATTCATATCGTTGGAGTTGTAGGAATTCTTGGCATCTAAGGGCAACATCTGTGCAACGCAAGTCCGCCAGACCCCGCTGTCCCACAAATATTTACCCTGGCCACGCGCCATCCACGTACCGGCGAACACCCCCACCGGCGATCGCCCCCCCCCCCCCCCTCCCCCGCCCGACTCACAGTCGCCACCGACAGGGGCGCGTCACATGTCGTCATCGTCGTCGGCCGGCACGAAGAGGTCGTTCTCCTCGAGGAAGCTGGCCATGTTCTTGCTGATGCTGGCGCCGATCAGCAGGCCCGGCAGCACGGTGAAGAAGGCGCCGATCACCGCCAGGCGGTTGCGCGGCGGCTCCTCGCGCAGCGCGCCCGTCGCCAGCGTGACGCGAGAGCGGCACTGGAGTCGGGGCGGCGGCGCGGCGGCGGCGGCGGTGCGCGCCCGGCCCATGGTCCGCAGCAGCCCTAGCCTCCCGGTCATGGTGGTGGCGACGGCGGTGCGCTCTGTCGGCGGGAGGGGTGTCAGAGCGGGAGGGGACACGGCGGCCGTGTGCGTCTTCCCCGCCGCAGGGGGGGGGGGGGCTGGAGGTCAAACCCGGCAGGGAACATCGGCGACCGGCGGCGATAAAGGCCATTATTTTGTGGTACGTGTCATGACTGCGAGGTCTCGCCGATCAGTTACCGGGAGCATCCTGCCAATAAGCGACCTCGAAATTGCCGACTTGGAGTTGCACGAGTCAACGGAAGTGGTGGGGACCTCAAGCTTAGACGGGAGGTGCGTCTTTATGTCTGAAGAACAGGTTGATAGATGTCTTGTACCGCAGGAAGCGAGATGCCTCACAATCCAGGGTTAGGGTTTTGATGTTGATTCATCCGCCGGGTATTAATGCTTATCGCATCTACCAGAAATAACATAAAAATCATCCAGCATAGGAAAGTGTGCCGAACTTCAGCAAGGGAACGGCACACATCCGGTACACGGAGGTACCCTACAGCCCAAATAGCGAGGAGAAATACCACCCGTCGCAAGACGACGCACCCTTCAAGTCAATGTCATGTCTGTCATGATGTCATGATGATCGCTGGCAAGCAGTGATCTCCCAAGGGTCGGCTTAAAGGTGGGCGCAGGGGGGTCATACAAGCTTCTGATGACGCTTCTTGGCGCGGCGGCGCGTGCTGAGGCCAGGGTCGGGAGACCAAGTATGTCGGTACGCGGCAGCACAAAAACGCACGGAGTTCCGACCCGATTCAACACAACTTCGAAAAATAGACGGCACATTGGCAAATCGGAAAGCTTTTGGCAGATGCACATGGTGCGGATTCGCGTACCAAGACGGATATCTCAATATTATGTGATCTGGGGTTGAGTAACAGACAACTGTAGAGCTTCTGCTAACGGCGCATGTACGGTGGCGGGTGCAACAACTGAAGGCGAATCTCCTGGCCATCTAGCCTTGCTGGATTGCAGTCTACCATCTGTCATGTGCCTCCATCTGAAGACACTCCGTCGCTCGGAGCGTGGGGTTCATTCTGGAAACTGGAACAAGTGGAACGAAAGATGTCCACACAGTACGCACGTGACAAGCTTGGCACGTGCGTACTGTGTGAATTGATTGTGGCCGATTGATTGATTGTGGCGTACGTGGCTGATTCCAGCAGGCTGGCACAGGAGCCTGGCAGTGAATAGCACTGCCTCGTGCAGTTAACCCACCCAGTCTAATGAGGTCAACATACTTCAGGACACTTACAAAGGAAGCCATAAAAGGTTTCATTCAAACATTCCAAATGTTCAAAAAACCAGGGCAGCACAGCTCCTTGCAACCCCCACTCCAAAACGCCTGTTCCATTTGACTGATGTGTGGCGGACTGATGAAGTGACTCATCAGTGACAGCCAACTCACAACCCGCCAGGATAGCCAGGTTGAAATAGCAGCTGCTGTGTCATGGCAGCATAGTGTGGCATGTTGCAAACTCAACAGGAAATGTATCTTAGATTGCAGCTGTTCTACTGGCATGATGGGGTCAGAGTTTTGTGACAAGCTATCCTACACAGTAGAAGCCATGTTAAAACCAACCTGAAAAAAATGGTCATATTTTATGGAAGAAACATTAACAATGTCATGGAAACCTCAGCATTAGCACTAGCAGCACATGCTTAACTTAAATATTGTAATATTGAGGGGGCAGGCAAAGCATTATAGACCACATCCATATCATGACTGTTTTAGCACTGAATTTCATTACAAAAACCATACCACATGCATATGGTGTGGCATGTGTGGAATATCATGCCAAAACTATCACTTCAGTGTGCAAAAATCCGCTTAATCTGATTAAGGGAACTGCATTCCACCAAGCAGACCTCACAGCTTGGTCACTTAGTGCCTGCCTCTCAACCTACCCATGGTAGGTTGGGTGGGTTCAGAGCACTTTCACACTCACCTTTTGGCCCATGGCTGAGATAATCAAGGTCATATGATTTCAGGTTGGCCAATGGTGTCAAGCATTAAAACAACTTAAATTTTACAACAAAATTTTGGCTTGGCATCAACAATTTTATTTGATGCTGGTGTCAAGGTTTGCACCACAAACATTGCTCAAAACACAGCTTAGCGTGAAATAAGATTCAGGAAGCTTAGCATAAAATAAGATTCAGGAAGCTTCATATGATATAAGATTGGAGAAATATGTTTAACCAAAATGATGGGATCAAATTTGTTGACAAAAGTACCAACTTATTGCTGTAGGGCTCTGTACTTAGCCCTGGCAGCTGTTATAATGAAAAACCTTAAATAAGCATATGAGGAGCACCCAGCATATTTTCATTTGCAACTGACATTCATCTTGTAAGCTGGGTGTCACACTGTACTTTATATGTCATTGGAGACAGAACTACAAGGCAGAAAAAGCATCTCATCATCCTACTGAAGTATGGTATCAGCTGGGTTCCTGAATCCCTATCAGAACATATGCCAGGCAGACCTACTGATTCCTTCTCAGCAGCACCCAAGGATTAAAGCAAATAATCCTTCTAGAGTGAGAGGTTAGGCAGTGTTCCTACAATTATGATGCCTATAAATGGCTTCATCTTACACACAAAGCTCACATGTCCTTGTTCTTTAAGTTTTCTGACCCTCCCACTTTTTGTTGTGGCCCTAAAATGTAGCCTCACATGAGCATAATGTAATGACCTTTCACAGTAATGACATATTTCTGGGAATTCTCTTCTTCTGCCCTATATACCCCATACCTGAGCCTTAAAAGTTTTAACTTGTTATCTCTACTGATTCATTGCCTTACCAACAAGCATACAACACTCTCAGCAGCCAGTAAGATTTTGAGCATGAACATTTTTTATCACAACCTTCTAAGGAACTTAATGTGATGTGCAGCCCATAAAATCCCAGAAGGAATGTTGAGCCTGCAGCTGGTATAATTTATGATTTTGAAAAACGAAGCCATTTTTCAGATTGGTTACAAGCTCATCCAATTCATATAACCAATTACCACTGTTCTTGCTGATTGATTTTGACTTGATTTGACTGATTTTGCCACGAATTTCCACATCAAATGCATTATTGGACATGGATTCAAAGCAAGTCTAGACTCCACACTTCCAACCTGTATAGGTTCTATGGTCCTTCATACAATCAAATTTGAAACCAACAATTCCTATCATGATGATATGTGCAATGTTCTGGTTGCACAGGACCCACCTACGTGTGTCAACTAAGCTGCACCGACGTAAAGATGACTCCCACCTGACTAATTCCCGCACATCTCAGCCTGAAAACATCATCTCCGTTGACATGGCCCTAAAACGAATTTTCACGCCATTGTGGCTTGGACGTATGATGGGCACAAAGCGGAACGTGAATGCGTCTGCTTCATAAAATACCTCACGTGCTGCAATCCTGTCTACGCGAGGGCCGCTGCTGCAAGCATTCGCGATGCACACCTCAGGCCTGTACAAGATGCAGGAAAGTTATAATACAGCACCTGCGCGCCATGCTCGTATTTCTTGCATGCTTCCAACTCCCTTCAGGAATAAAAAATTATAGAAGAGTGCCGCCTTATTGCAACACGCTCCATAGTCGATCCCAATTAACCTGCCATCTGCGGCAGACCCATGGGCGGCGGGCCACGATCATGTCGAGACGAAAATTGTTCTTTGCCTGGTGCTGGTGATCAGTTCTAATCTGTGTACCCATGAAGTTTCTGTGGGTCAGAGACTGCACATGAGGCTGTGGCCAGAATGAAACCCTCGACGTAGCTAGTGGGATGGAGAGCAGAGCTCCTAGTAATAATGAATGACAAGCAGCGGAAGTCAGGGATGTCACCTTGTATCCTTTGGGAGCTTAAGCCCCCCTCGCCTCAATGCTGAGTTGAGCCCTTCAATGCTCCTCTGAGTCCACCCCCCAGCACGTATGAGCAAAAACACGAAACAATTTGCCAACAACATCCAGCAGGTGTCTAAGTTGCAGGTACGTTGGGTTCTTAAGCGCACGACTATCAATATCATCATTATGATCTATCATCATTATCACTCACACATCGGCTTCAAACTTAAAAGCATTCCTTAACAGGAAAACAAGTCCTGAACCGAATAAACAATTCTTAGTTCATCTTGACACCAGGGAAGCAAAGCAAAGTGGCCGAAAGGCGGAGAGAAATCAGGATTTGGTGGGCAGGTTATATTAACTTGATTGGCTCAGACGCCTCCCCCCCCCCCCCTTCCCCCAACGGTTTTGGAATGTGACGTCCCTGGCGGGAGTGACTCCCACCTCACATGAACCGTGCACCTCACGACGGCTATAACGCATTCTCCCCCCCCCCCCCGTGTTGCCACCAAGCTTAAAGCGTCGTATTGCATCGCTCGCTTAGAAAGCAGGGGGATACCACTAAAACGGGGTGCTAGCCTACAGAACCATGGAAGCGAAAATTCAAGAAGCTCGAACAAACCAAATTTGTTTTATCAAGAAGGAAAGCGCCTGTCTACCTATGGTAACTAACGGCGGCAGCTTTATTATCCGACCCGCCTGAAGTCGCCTCGTTCCTCAGCTGCGCTCTTGTCGGACAAGCAGGCACGCACACAATCTTACAACCATCGAAGCACGACGTGTGCGGAGAGGGGGGGGGGGGGGGGGCGTAACGACCGAACGGTTATCGTCTTTTCAAGGAACAGGAGTATATGCGCTTTTCCTATTTGCCGAATCGCGTTACCTGAAAACCCGTAACACCCCGCGCAGTCTGCATCTGTTCCATTCTACAGCTGGCGGAAGTTGGACGCGTCTGGCAGCAGCGACCGGTTCTCACATAGCAGACGCTTCAAACACGGCACATTTGCGTGCGTTGGCACACCGCCAGTGGTGATCGCTACCAAATACGTCGTCATAATTGCTTTCATCGCCATCGGGCTGACTGCTCGCAGCCCGCGTTTAGCCATTCGGCCACACGCGAACCCCAGACCCAAGCGGGCGACGGCGAGGGTGAGACCGCGTGCGTGTGTCTGTCCGTCCCGTTCACAGATACCGCAGACGGCGTCCTCATCTCAGCCGCGTCCGGCACCCGTCCCCTCCCCGCCAAAAACCAGCAGGTCCGTTAGGGCGCGTTTATTGGCATTCGCCGGTGCCGCGGTGACCCGTACGCGCGCTCTCCGGCAGCTCCGGTTGGTCGCGCGGCTGCGCCGGTCGCTCTTGGCCGGCCGGCCACAGGCGCCGCCGACCCGGGTCCTGTCGAAGGGTGAGACAGCGTCACGTGCTGTGCGGGGCACCCAGGCGGACGGCAGGGGCGCGACAGACGGACGTGGGCTGGCGCAACCGCATGTGACAATCGCGGCAAACGCGTTCAAGGGTGCACCGCGTTCAAGGGTGCAGGTTCTTAACCCATTAAAAACCTACATTTTGCTACTCTACCTGCAGCGAACAGTTCTGCAGCTTGACATCGGAATAAGATACAGGGACGACGCATTCGTTTCGCAGCGACTTCCGAGTCGAACAAGTGGCAAAATATAGCAGCAAGGCTGTGTTGACATGCACCACACCACTGGCGCGGACGAGTACGCGAGGGGGGGGGGGGGGGAGCTGAGGCCGGACAACGAAAGAGGCCAGGTCAGAGGTTACACTAGCCATCGGACGGCCGACACAGCTGCTCTAGCCGCCGGCCAGAGGGAGCGCGGTCACTGACAACCGGACTCCCGGGGCAGGCCCCGGCACAGTCAGACACAGACACGGGGACGGGGGGACGGGGGGTACGGGGTGTCACCAACAAACACGCCCCGGCGACCCCAGACCCTTCATTCCCATAGCAGTCGCCTCCCGAACTAGCCTATCGTCAACCCGCGCCACCTCAACAGAGAAGCCCGCACCGCACGCGGAGCGAGCCGCCCGACATCAGCGCTCTTCCGCGCAGTCAGACGACAGCGGCGGCCATGGCCTTCCCGCGCTTGGCGCGCCGCACGTCGCCGCCTCGCGCGCGTCGGCTGCCGCGGCCACCCGCTCCCCCTGGCGGAGGCCGGGGGTCGGGGCCAGGCGGACCGGGAGCCGAGCTCTCACCTGAGCCCAGGGCGAGAGACGTCGCTGGTCCGGACCGGCTCCTGCGACAGGGACAGGGCGTCACGCGGTGACCGGACGTGGCGCCGCACGCGCACGGGCGGGGTCACAGCGCGGCTGTAACGCACGCCGTCTCCGCCGCGGCACAGCACACGCAGTGACGCACGGCACAGCACGCACCCATACACGCGCACCGCGACGACACAACTGTGACCACCCTAACGACACAGCGGCAGCCAGCGCAGCGTGACGATCCCAGCACAGGCTTCGCACGACCCCGAGCGCCGCCGGCCGCTCCGCACACTCAGGGCCGGAGCGTCGCGCCACGGGGCGCCGGCGGGTGTGCCCGCCCCCGGCGCGGGGCCGGCGCGGGGCCGGCACCGGTCGCCGGGGCGCGGGGCGTCAGTGTGGCCGGGGCTAGAGGAGCGGACCGCCAGGACGCGGCGGCCCGCTGGTGTTATCCGGCAGACGGGGGCAACACGGCGGTCACAGCAGAGCGACGGGAGATCAGACTACGCCTCGCATAGAAATGTTCAGACGGAGTGCCAAAATGTTCAATACCATGGCAGTATCAACTGTGGCAACTGGAGCGCCACAACTGTTGGAACTAATCTACTGTTTGAGGGGATCTGCGCGACTGCATTTGCTGCCGCCTCAGCGCGCCTGCTCATCCAGAGACGCTGGTTTAAGAGCACTCAGATTAAGAAGTCCACTCAGACGACGGACGGTTGTTGGGCTGTCAGGCGTTCTGCCTACCGACAGTCAAGCTCACACACAGCTGCGTAGACAAGGCGAGACACGCCACAAGGCTCCGCCAGTGACGCAACGGGGCCTCCGAACCGAGCACTGCATCACGTGCATACATCGCTGGCCAAGGCAAAACAAAAACCTTCAAGGGAAAGTAGTGGGAACATAACACACGAGACGGCGAACGTTTCCGAACACTGAGTCCGACGACAAAGCAGATGCGTCAGGCCGGCCGGTACATCGACGATCGCCCGAGTCGCACAGGGCGGGCACCGGTCCCCACTGACCTCGAGGTCGATCGCCGCAGGAAGGGCCACTGACGGCGGCTGAAGCGGCGCAGTCGGAGCCGGCGCGGTGGCGCAGTCCGACCGCCAAGCTGAGAGCAGACTGAGAGCACGCTGAGAGCAGTCTGAGAGCAGTCTGGGCGGGTAGTCTCCTGAGAGCCGCAGCGCTGTCTCCCGTCCAGCGCCCGCGCGGCGGTGCCGGCCTGCCGCCCGCTCCTCCGCGGCGAGCCCCGCGCGGCCGGCGGCGGCCGCCGCGGCCGCTAACAGTTTGCCGATTTCCATAGTCCAACTCCACGTCGGCCGGCCGTGAGGGCCGGCCATAGTAACAAAGCTATCTGGGTATGCAGGCGAAGATGGCGATGATATCACGACGCAGGCCGGTCAGATCACAGCGGCGGACGGCGCCCGCTCATGCGTACAAAACACGATCCAGCAATATGACTGTGATGGCGGCGCGCCGCGGCGCCGCCCCCGCCCCCACCCCGCTCCCACCTGGTAACAAAGCTAGATAATCTGGAACAATTTCTTGAGTTCTATCATCAGCTGCCAGTCGGGCTTCTGCAGGTCCTCGCGGAAGTAGTTCTTGCAGGCGTCGATGGACTCGCGGCTGATGCGGCTGACGAGGATGTCCGTCTCGTCGAAGTGCCTACCGAACATCTTCGGACTCTCGCCCGGCACCGGCTCAATCTTGATGCACACCTCCTGGCCCTTGCGCGCCGTCTCCACCTGCTTGTGGTTGATCTCGACGGTGGAGACGTAGCCGACGAAGAGGAAGTCCTTGGACGGGACGCAGATGGGCGTGCCCGTCTTGACGATGCCGCCCTCGATGCTGACGCCCATGACGATCGGGTCGCGGGAGTTGAAGATGAACTGCGGCAAGATGCGTATCTTGCACGGAAACACGGCGATGTGCTTGTGCTCCTCGCGCTTCTTGTTCTTGAGGTCCTCGCGGTGCTTCATGAACTTGTCGAACAGGTGGTAGATGATGTCGGCCTGGAAGATGGTGACGCCGGCCGAGTCGGCCATCTCCTGCGCGTCGCGCTCCACCTTGACGTCGAAGGCGAGGATGACGGCGAACTCGGGATCACGGTCCAGCATGGCCGACGCCTTCATCACGTCACGCTTCACCACCGGCCCGATGCGCACGCCCGAGTAGGGAATCTTCGAGGTCCGCAGGAACTCCAGGAGCGCCTCCATCGAGCCCAGCGTCGACGCCTGCACGTAGACGCCGTGGTCGCTGAGCTTGATGGCACTGAGCGCCGAGCGCAGCTCCTTCGCCACCAGCGCCTTGCAGATCTCCACCTCGTCCGGCTGCTCCGCCACCAGCAGGTTCAGTCCGGCGATCGCGCGTTCCAGCTCCTTGGCGGCGATCTTGACGCCCTGCGCGGCGCGAATCTCCTTGAACTCCTGGTAAGCGTTCTTGACGCGCAGCTCCTTGAGCGGCTGCGGCATGAGCAGCGAGCGGACCTGGGTGACGATCGGCCCGTCTGTGCCGGCGACGACGACCGTGCTGCCCTCGCGCAGCGTACCGTTCACCAGGATGACGTCGATGGTGGTGCCCAGCCCTGGGATCTGCTTCACCTCCAACACGGTGGCCTGCAGCTCGTCTGAGTACATCAGCCGCTTGGTCAGCATGTTCTGCGTCATCATCACCACCAGCGCCATCAGGTTGCCCATGCCCTCGCCGGTGATGGCGCTGGTCGGCACGAGCGACAGGTACTCGCGCGGGTTGTCGTTCTCGTAGAAGAGCTTGGCGTTGAGGCCCTGCTCGGCCAGCTGCACGATCGTCTCGCGCGTGCGCTGCTCGAACTCCATCTGCGTGTTGCGCGCCTGCGCCTTCACCACGTCCTCCACGTCCTTCGCCTTGCCCGTCTCCCAGTCGTACAGCCGGTCGATCTTGTTGAGCGCCACCAGGAAGGGCGTCCGCTTCGACTTCAGCAGGTTGATCGACTCGATCGTCTGCGGCTCCAGGCCGTGCATGATGTCGATCACCAGGATGGCCAGGTCGCACAGAGACGAGCCGCGCGAGCGCAGGTTGCTGAAGGACTCGTGGCCAGGCGTGTCGATGATGAGCAGACCGGGGATCTTCAGCTCGGCCACCTTGTGCTTCTTGACGAAGCGCTGCTGCTCCTCGATGGCGCGCAGCGGCACGTTGGTGGCGCCGATCTGCTGCGTGATGCCGCCGGCCTCGCCCTCCTGCACGTTCGTGCGGCGCAGCTTGTCCAGGATCTTCGTCTTGCCCGTGTCCACGTGCCCCAGCACGCAGATGACGGGCGCGCGCAGGTTGTCGGCCGACATCTGCGCGCGCGCCGCGTCGCGCCGCTCCTGGATGCGCTTCAGCGCGCGGTCGCGCCGCTTCTCGGCCTCGGTGCGGTCGTCGTCGCTTTCCTCGCTCTCGCTGTCGTCGTCGCTGCCGCTCTCCTCCTCGTCTTCGTCGTCGTCGTCGGCTGACTCGTCTTCGGATTCGGCCGGCTTCGCGGTCGTCGCCGGCGGCGGCGGCGCGGCGGCAGGCGCGGCGGCAGGTGCCGGCGCCGGTGCCGGTTCCGGTTCCGCCGGCGCTTCGTCTTCGCTCGCCTGATCCCACGAGTCCTTCAACCCACCGTCCTCCTCTTCCTCCCAGCTGTCCTTCAGCCCCGCGTCCGGCTCTGCGGGCGGTGGCTTCGCCGGCGTCGTCACCTCCGGTGTGATGACCTCCGGTGTCGGTGGCACCTCCGCCTCCGGCGACGCCTGCTTGTTTTTCTTTTGCCGGCGATCCTTGAGACTTGGACGTGGCTTCTTCTCGGCCCCCGCGGCCGCCGTCTGCTGCTTCATCGCGTCGAGTAGCGCCTGCGCGCGCGCCATGTTCTGCCGCTGCTTCGGTGTCAGCAGCTTACCTTCGGCCTTGAGCTGCTCCTTGCGCTCCTTTGCCTGCTTCTTCTTCAGCTCCTTCTGCTCCTTTTCTAGCCGCTCCTGCTCCTCCTTGCGACGCTCCTCCTCCTCTTCGCGTCGGATGCGGTCCTCCTCCTCTTGTTTAGCCTTCTCCTCTGCCTCCTGCTGCAGCCGCAGCGCCTCCTGCATCGCGGCCACCAGCTTCTTGCCGGGACCTTTTTTCTTCTTGGACGGCTCCTCAGGCTCAGGCTCCGGCGCTTTTTCGGCCGCCTTCTTCTTTTTCTTCTTCGCGGCCGATGGTTTTTCTTCGCCATCCTGTTCTACTTTCACCTCCTTCGGCTTTGACACAGCCTCGCCATTAACATCATCAGCTTTTTCCTCCTGATCTTCAGGCTCTTTGGGCTCTTCGGTTTGTTTTTTGCCGCCCTTCTTGTTCTGCTCGATTTTCTTCAAGCGCTCCCTCTCCTTCTTCTCCTTGCGCTTTTGCGCCTTTGTCTTGACGGTGCCACCCTCGTCGTCATCCTCCCCTTCGTCCTCTTTCTCCACGCTCTCCGTGACGCGCTCGTTCTTCTCGGCGTCCACCGCCGGCGTCTCCTCCACAGACGTCTCCCTCTCGGCGGGCTTCGCGGTGATCGTCTCCATCGGCTGGTCCCCCGTGTACTCCATCTGCAGCTCCGACAGCATTTTCTCCAGGTCGTCGTCCAGCCCCTCGTCCTTTTTCTTTTTCTTCTTCTCCTTGCCCTTCTTCTCTTTCTTCTTCTCCTTCTTCTTGACGACGACGCGCTCCTCCTGCTCCGAGTCGGGCGCCTCGTCCTCGCCGCTCTCGGCCATCAGGGAGGCGAAGCCAGACTGCTGGCGCCGCGCCGGCCGCTCCTCCTCCTCCTCCGAGTCGTCCATCATCAGCGCAGCGAACCCAGACATCTTGGGCCGCGCCGGCGGCGGGGGCGACGGCGACGCCTCGCCGCCGCCGCCCTCCTCCTCCATCGGGTCGTCGTCGTCCGACTCGGCCACGGCCGCCTTCTTCTTCTTCTTCTCCTTCCGCTTCGGCTTCTTCACGGCCTCCTGCGGCTCGGGCTCGTCCTCGAGCGTCAGGACGGAAGGCTCGTCCTCCTCCGACTCCTCCTTCTTCTTGCCCTTCTTCGGCTTACCCATGGTGCGTGTCTGCTGCAGACACGGGGGCGGCGGGGGGCGGCGTCGGACGGCAGCGTGACTGGCGGCGGCCGCCCGCGACGGACGCGCGCTCAACGGGCTCTGCCGGACGGAGCGCGCTGTCAGAGGACGATGGCCGTGCCGAACAGGTGGCGCCCCTGGCACAAGGCGTACCGTCGGCGGCAAAATATTTGACCAGCTGTGCAAACAACATACGCCTGCCCAGCCCACGGCATAGAACAGCAATCAGTGGTAGGAGGCAGCTATGCGATGAGTGTGAAGTCACTCAGATGGGGGGTCAAGTTCAAACTGCTTCATCCACAAAATGACAGCCAGCAAATGAGGCCTCCTGTGATGTGAGATGGCAGCTTGCCAGGTCACTGTACATGTCCAAAACCTATGGGAGCAAACAGGTGCATTGAAAAACACACCTCAGCCCAAAAATGACTTGAGATGTCAAAAAATCCAGGACTGTCAGCAATGTTTTCAATGGTCAGAAAAGCTTAACCATGATCAATGTGATAAGAAGAAAACTCAATCCTTGCAGCAAAGATATGCATCAGCAATGATCATTCTATTCTGCATGTATACCAGCCAAACAACATGCAAATGACATCTAATGGATTGGGGGTGGACAACAAAAGAAGCCATGTCAGAGACTACACTAGCCATCAGACAGCTGACACAGCTGCTCTAGCTGCCAGCCAGATGGGGCACAGTCACAGCCAACCAGACTCCCAGGGCATGCCTCAGCACAGTCATACACTGCTCAATGACCTTGTGACCTTGACAATGTCAGTGACCTTGGGCCCTAGGACTGGCACCAGCCTCAACAAGGGTCAATCAGCCCAACTGAAGGCATTCTCTCCATCCACCAGAAGAACTCCTGGGTCACACACAATGCAATCTCAAAAGATCAGAGCAACAAGATCTGAGTAAAAGATCAGATCAGAAGATCAGATCAGAGAAACATAAAGATTGGAGCAACAGGTGGCCTTGGAAGCCTGCAAACCTTTGGAAAACAGACCAATTTCCATCTTATACCTTAGTGATGGCATATAGCTCAAGGTCAGGGAAGTGCATCGCTTTGTGACCCATTCAGTTGGGGGTTTCAGATCCCCAACTTTAAAAAGTATGCCAAATTTGGAGAGCAGGCTGTTTGTGCATATTGAGACATTTTTATTGTTATTTCATACATCTTGAGACATTTCAGAAGAAATCAGCACTGCAAGGAAACACAAATTACCTGCTGGTGCTTCTGCACATAACTAATACTAATGTTTAATAAACATGAATAATTGACCATGCTTTAGAAGCTTTAAGTGAAGTCAAAACATTAACCATATTTTATATGGAAAAGACAGGATGCCATCAACAAACTGGATGCCATTTTGAACTGACTAAAATTGTTTGGACCCTAAAATACACATCACATTTCTGTGTGGTGTGGTGTGGAAAGATATTTATTTAGATCTTCAAAACACACATGATGAAATTCAAAAATTCACTATATCATTGAGGAAATGAAACTTCACAGATGAGTGAAGCAGCTTGGCATGGGAGAAAATTTAACTAATTATTCTGCTGGGAAACTATAATTGTGATTAACCACCATGTGTATAGAAAACCTGAGGTACAGGGTTTGATCCCCCGCAGTGCCTGCCCTTCCTGTTGAGAGGCAGGTGGCGCCATATAGCCTCAGAAGGGGAAAGCATTGTAAAGCCCCAATAGCAACCAGTTGATCTTTCTTCTTGAAAACTGAGACTAAAAGGAACATTTACTGACAGTGCAGGTCTTGATTGCGTGATTCTTTCTTATTAGAATATGAAATCCACAGAATACACTGTAAAAGTCAGCATGTTCAACATTCTTATTGCAAAGAATGGATCACAATTATGACTCTTAACACAACATATGCCGACGGCCGATGTCTTCCATACACACAAGCAGGGAATCGTGATCATCTTGGAGCACATCATTAAAATATAAAAATAACATATATTTCAAAAACGAGGATAGCAGGATTACGTTCTCCACTTCCAAGAGGAAAAGCAGCCGGAGCTGTTTAATTAACGCAACAGCCGGCTGAGTGCTGAGCGTCGCGACGGGCACCGCAAGACGAGGCTAGGACCTGTACCTGCTATTTGAGCCAGTCGCTAACATAAAACAGCAGCTCCAAAGTTATAAGTAAATAGAAATGGAATACTTAGAATGAACAAAGTGCTTGACACACGCTGGTCAACACTCCACACACACAGCTGATCGCGACTGACCTCAAAGTCCACCGGAAAAGGATGATGATGCAATAGAGAAACTTGGAAGGCGGTAACGCTATTGAAGCGCTAAAATAAATCACTGTACACAGTTAACTAAATTAAACCATGCTAAGGAAACACACCCACTAGTTTTTGTGGAAACTGTTCCCATTCTGTACAAACCAGGATAAAAATACCTTCTCGAAACCTTTGTAATCTCACCTCTAATCTGTGCTACCTCAATACCATGAGAATTCTTCTCGCGTTTAACAGGTGAAATGCCGTACAAATTCTACATCTATTGACATTCAAATTTCTCCATGGCGCCAGTTTCCAACATTCGTCGTCGTATACAATGCGCAGATGGGGCAACAAACAATTGTAAGCGAGGTCCCAAGGTAACGTTGCGGGCAAGCAAGTTGCGGGGATCTCCTGGGGTCTCCGTGGCCGTGGTTGTTCGGGGTCGTAGATCCTCAGTTCGTGTCTCATATTCGTTGCTGTTCACGGTTTCGGAGGCTGCTGGAGATAGGTAAGCTCACTAACCGGTCTGCAGTCATGATTACCTGGGAGTTATCCAGTAGTGACTTGATTGGGAAGGCCGTCAAAACCAGGACAAGAAAGGATTACAGTTAGAGATGCTATGATGTGCTTTTTGCACCTCTTGTGTGCGGAATTATCAAGTCTAGAGGGTGTGTAGCTGTACAGAGCAGAATGTTTGTAATTCTGTCCGGTTTTGTTGCATTGTGGCAGATTCAACATTACATCATTCAACATCCCATCTCTGTTTGGTACCTCTGAGGGTGTGGCTTTCATCCCACATTGTCTTCAATCTCAACATCTGGAATGTGATAATTCAGCTGTGTGCCTGTTTTTAGATCTGGTCGTGATGGAGGCCTTCTTGAAGACTGGCAAGCTGGGCCAGGGTGAGCCGGCTGTCAGTGCTGCTCCTTCTGGCAAGGAGAAGAAGAGGAAGGTGCCGCAGCCCTGGGTGGAGAAATAGTATGTCAACACTCCATATGTGGTAACATTTCATTCCATCATGCACAAGCTGCAATCAGTTTCAAGGCTTCAGTTTCCTGGGTGTAGGTATACATTCCTACCTAACATTAGACAAAATCATTGTACACCATTTGTCATGTTTCAGGCAGAACATATCATAAATAATGTTAAAACAGGTAGATTCATGTTCCTACCTTCAAATTTTAATATTTACGGTAGCAAGCTCCCGAGCTCTGCACGCGCCCACCTCCTCGACTCCCCAGCACAGTTTCTGTGTTGCCGTTGCCTAATTACAATATTTCTGCTTATCGAGAACCATAAAAAATTACAGGACCAAGTTAACAATAATAATGTGATGAAAAACGTTTCTTATCGTGTCTAGGTGGTACATTTATGAAATGGACAGGCCAGAATAGTCCAGAACATAGCCTAAACTAAACCAGCCTAGCCTAACCTAACATAACAAAACATAACTTAGCCTAGCCTAGCCTAGCCTAGCCTAGCCTAGCCTAACAACCTAACCAACCTAACCTAACCTAACCTAACAAACCCCCACCCTATCCCCTTCAACCCAGTGTTCGATTGGCACCCATGTTCCGTGCCATATATATTTACTGCACTAAGAAGTTTTGTTTAGCCGCCATATTCTCATTTCGCTTTTTGTTCCCACACAAAAACATCATATTTCCCCACCATGTTGACCAATCTACAAACAATACAGAAGACCGCTTGGATACCCAAGAAACACATTTTATTGAATTATTGTTACCTCGGCCTCATACATTGCGTAGAAATGGTGCCGGGTCGTGGTTGCTACGTGTTTGCGCTCGGATGTTCTCTATCATAGTTATTTAAGTTCCAAGGTAAGAGCTTGGATGACCCATTTTACGATTTATTTCTATATGTTCTGTGTTAAAAACAATGATTGATGTACAATGCTCTTTTTTAACATGAGGTAGGAATGTATACCCTGGCCATTTCCTGTGATTGATTTTGTGTTACAAAGTTAAGGGAGGTTAGGGTCATGTCCAGGAATGGTCCAAAACTCATGCTGTGAAAGTTAAAGCTGTTGCCATTCTGAATCAGAGGCTGCTAAGTATTGGTGTACTTTTGTAATCAAAATCATGGTCAGGTTTCTACCATGCAGGCCTTTGATGGCATCTGTTTTATCAGAGCATGATCAAAGAAATCTGGATGATGATGTTCCTTTCCTGGTTTCAGCCGGCCCAAGACTGTAGATGATGTTGCTTTCCAGGATGAAGTAGTGATGATGTTGAAGAAGTGTATGAAGGGTGCTGACGTAAGTTACACTTATCTGCTAAATGTTTGTGTAGTTGGCACTCGTAAGCTAATTATGTACCATTATAGAGGAATTTTGGATCTTGCTTTATTTGGGTAGATGGTTTGGAGATCTGTTACACATAATTATAATCAGTGCAGTGTATCTTAAGATTTTGAAGGATTTGGCCCAAATCTGTTGATTGGATGAATTTCTGTGATCAGAGTTCATGCTAAGCAATTGTTATGTGAGCCCTGACCCCTACCATCCAATCTTCAAATATGCTTGACTTCATGCACATTGCTTTTAAAACTTTGTTTTTGTCATATCATTTCAGTCATGCTTTGGGACAGCACTTGAAAGATACAAGGCATGACTGTGGGCAGGGGCAGCCTTTCAATTGAAGCTTTTCTGTGGAGAGTAGTGTGTTGGGTCCAATGTTCATCATGTTCATCTGTCACTAACCTGACCCCTTGCCTTGGAGTGG